ATCAGTTAGAAGCAACAAAGCACATTTGGTGATTTTTTGATGGTTGGGGTCTCTGGTGATTGGTTCCATATAAGATGGGGGGAAAAAGTGGAGTCTCCTTCCTTGGAGGTTTTTAAGGCCCCGCTTGACAAAGCCCTGGCTGGGATGATTTAGCTGGGAATTGGTCCTTCTTTGAGCAGGGGGTTGGACTAGATGACCTCTTGAGGTCCCTTCCAACTCTGATATTCTATGATTCTATGACCCATATCCACCCCCCAGAAGTGGGAGCGTCCAGTTTGGGGTCCTGGGAACCACTGTCAATCTAGAGACTGTTCCCATTTCTGAGGTTCTGGTGCCACCGTGTGGCCATGTTTGTCCCTGAGAATTACAGCGCTTGTTTAAAACTAATTCACGTGGCTCCGAATACTCTGCACAGGCTTCCTTTAAGCCCAGGATAAAATGCTCTGGGCTGTGCTAGTCCCCCGCACCCAGGGCTGGGAAATGCTGGGGATTCTTACTGGTGCAGACACTTACATAAAACACACCTCTGCTGGGTTGGGTCTAGTGTCAGATTCTCTGGGAGCCGGTCCCTTGCACTGATTGGTGCAGTCAGGGTTTGTTTCCTGACATGGGTCTAATCTGGGGGTGGGAAAACTACAGCTCGGGGGCCACATCAGGCCCTTCAGACATTGTAATCCGGCCCTCAAGCTCCCGCTGGGTAGCAGGGTCCAGGGCTTGCCCTGCTCCACGTGTGCTGTGGCTCCACACGGATCCCAGAAGCAGCATGTCCCCCCTCTGGCACCTATGCCTAGGGGAAGCCAAGTGGCTCTGTACATTGCCCCTGCCCCAGGCGGTGCCCCTGCAGCTCCCATTGGCCTGGAACCATGGCCAATGGGAGCTGCAGGGGCGGCGCCTGTGGACGGGGCAGCATGCAGAGTTGCCTGGCCACGTTCCGCATAGGTGCTGGAGGGGGGATATGCCGCTGCTTCCAGGAGCTGCTTGAGGTAAGAGCCACTGGAACCCCTGAGCCCCTCCCTTGCCCCAACCCCCAGCCCTGATCCCCCTCCCAACCTCCAAACCCAGGCTGGGACCCCCCTCCTGCACTCCCACCCCTCATCCCCACCCCAGAGCCTGCACCCCCAACTGGAGCCCCCCATCCCACACCCCAACCCCCTGCCCAGAACCACCTCCTGCACTCTGGACTCCTCATTTCTGCCCCCCCACAGAGCCCGCACCCCTAGCTGGAGCACTCACCCCCTCCTGCACCCCAACCCCCATTTTGTGAGCATTCATGGCCTGCCATACAATTTCCATACCCAGATGTGGCCCTCGGGCCAAAAAGTTTGCCCACCCCGGTTTAATCCCATCTTCATCCCAAGGTGCAGCTCTAAAGCAAAGAGCCTGGGGAGGGGGGCAGCGAGCTGGGTTAGCAGAACGTCCCTGGGGTGGTTAGACCGAGTGTCCCACACAATCGTATTGAACTTTATCTTTAGATGGGGTCAATATTTGTCTGTGCCGGCCATCGGGTAACACTCCCCCTGCCTGCCTGCTCCACGCCTTCACGGTGAATGTGCTGTTGCTGCACTCTGCTCTGGGTTGCTTGTCATCTGCGCTGTCTGTGAATTTGACCCCCAGAAGCTAAGCCACTAAAGAGGAGGGAGTCGGTGCCCATCCCTTGTTTCAAACGGTCTATTTCCTCCCTCAGCACAGCGGTCAGGGGTGTAAGGAGCCTGCAGCCTGGATCGGAGGGATTCTCTCCCCTCATTCACTCAGATACAGAGTCAGGCTGGGGGTAGGGGACACAGTCTCTGACCCTGTGTTACTTGCTTCTCTGACAGTGGAAAAATCCAAACCACCTGTGGGTGCTGCTGGGCCCGGCTGCCCGGACGGCTGGATCGGATACCGAGGGAAATGCTATTATTTCTCAGAGACTGAAGGGAACTGGAACCACAGCCAGAGCCAGTGCTCTGCACTCAGCGCCTCCCTGGCTGGGATCGACAGTGAGCAGGAAAAGGTGAGAGCGGCAGATGCTTTATCCCAACTGACTGGGCCTGGCAGGGCTGGAATCGGGCTGGGCTCAACCCCAGGGGTTCCAGAAACTGCCCGGTTGCCTCTCCTGAGAGTGTTTCTGGTGGCTGAGTCCCAGGCCTGTCTGGAGCTGAGCTCACAGTCAGGATCACTCACTCCCAGCCCCGCTCCCCTTTCCCAGAGCCCCAGGCGGGAGGATCCCCCTCTGTAGGGCTGGGCCGGCCTGGTCAGCTCCTGGCCAGTGGAGAACCTGCCTCTGCAGCTCCCCACAGCCAGTGACTCAGTGGGGTGGGGGCTCCGTGTGCCTGCCGGAGGAAGCACTCAGGCTCTTGGGCTGTGCAGGGAGTGAGCTCTGCCCTTCCTCAGAGCAGCTCCTGCCTCTCTGGGGGTGGGGGGGTCGCTCTGTGCAAAGCTGCTGGGAAGGAGCCTGGCAAGGAGGGCAGAGGTGCCTGCAAAGCCCAGCAGCTGCCCAGCCCCAGAGGGGAGTGGAGAAGGATGGGGCAGGGGCAGGTCTGTCCATGTAAACATGGATGTGGGGATGGAGACAGATGGGATAAAATGGCCTCTGAGCAGCCCCCAGCTCCTGCACGTGTCCCCAGGCTCCCAGCTGAGCAGGCCCCAGTCTGATGGGACGTCCAACAAACCGGGATTCTCAGCCAGCGATCGGTTCACCGGCTGAAGCTGCTGTCAGAGGAGTGGAGCTGCCAGCTCTGACCCCTACCAACCTAGCAGGGGACCAGTGGAGGGGAGAACTCCTGCTGTTACTGAGTCCTGACTTCACAACCCACAGCTGGCTCCTTAGACTGGGCCTTGTTCTCACTCCCCCCAGCGTGGGCTGGGCTGGCGTCATCGGACCCGGGGCTCTCAGCTGGCAAACTACGGGTGGCCCATCCAAACCTGAACTGCTGAGAAGGGGCCACACAGAGCCACAGGGGCAGTGAGCACCACAGCCAGGGGCCGAAACATAATCTGCCTTGTCTTATTTTTCAGGATTTCCTGCTGCGCTATAAGAGCTTCCTCAACCGTTGGGTCGGCCTCCAGAGGGAGCCAGGCCAGGCCTGGATGTGGCCCAACGGCACCGAATTCGACAACCGGTGAGTCCCTTTCTGTAAGGCAGTCACGGCTCTCCCTGTCTGTCAGGGCAGGAGACCACGCCCCTTCGCTACCATGCTTCCAGAGCACTTCGGTCCAGGGGAAAACTGGCTCACAGTTAGTGTCCCAGGCCTGCAGTCCAGCCGAGCAGCGATAAGTCTGTATGCCCGGGGCCCTCAGTCAGGGCAGGGCAGTGATCCAGTGGGGCTCTGGCCGGCTGTCACTCAGGCAGTCGCAGAGAGTGTATTCGCCCAGGGCCCCCAGTCAGGGCGGGGCAGTGATCCAGGGGGGCTCTGGCCGGCTGTCACTCAGGCAGTCGCAGAGAGTGTATTCGCCCAGGGCCCCCAGTCAGGGCGGGGCAGTGATCCAGGTGGGCTCTGGCCGGCTGTCACTCAGGCAGTCGCAGAGAGTGTATTCGCCCAGGGCCCCCAGGCAGGGCGGGGCAGTGATCCAGGGGGGCTCTGGCCGGCTGTCACTCAGGCAGTCGCAGAGAGTGTATTCGCCCAGGGCCCCCAGGCAGGGCGGGGCAGTGATCCAGGGGGGCTCTGGCCGGCTGTAACTTTGGCAGCCGCAGAGAGTGTATTCGCCCAGGGCCCCCAGGCAGGGCGG